TGAAAGGAGGAAGGGTTCCAGCACAGTGGAGAGGAGAGAAGAGGAGAGGAGAGGAGGGGAGGGGGGGAACATGAGCTTGACACTTACAGTTTCTTCTCTCTCCCTGTTTTTCTTTTGCCGTCCTTCTCCTGGATGTTTGTATGCTCTCTGTGGGCCAAAACCAAGCCAGTGTAAAGGCTCGATAGCAACAATAGTACACCCGGAGGAAGTGTGCAGAGAGCTGCACCACAAAAGGCAAGGAGCTTACACAAACTGTGGTGTGAAAACATTTTTTAAAACTAGGCTGTCATTCGGTGGTAGCCATTAACCCCATGGCAAGGAGAGAACTCTTTTACACAAGCTAAACTCAGAGGGCTTCATCATATTTGTAAGATAAAGCACTCCTGTGGTCTCCTGTCACTCCCTTCTAATGCAGGGTTCACACTCAAGTAGCTCTTTGCACATAGGTGGGGGGGCTGGAGCTATAAGGGAAATTGAATGTTTTTGAAGAAGATGAGGCGGAGTGGGAGCTGACCGGGGAGCAGACTGAATGGGTGCATTAAGGGAGCGGCATGTCACTAATGTTCCTGCTTGTTTATCTCCATGCTGTTTTTTTTCTCACCAGATACTCGTTTGGCACACGAGAACAGAGAAACCCGTCCTTGTAAACGAGGGAAAAAAGGGATTCACGGACCCCAATGTGGAGATCTGACTGCGTTCCCGCCACAGTAAGTCTGCGCTTACTGAGCCAAGAGTTGTTACTGAGCTCAACCCTTTGTTCACTGGCAAGCTTCATTTACAAATAAGGTGAATTTAGGAGGTTAGCATCACCTGATCTTGCCTGGTTAGCCTGTAAAAGGAGCATTTATCATTAATGTTTCCTGATACGCCATTCAGTCATTTTCAGTGCCTATTAAAGTCCAATTAGCTGCTGTCCATTATTAAATGTCGCCAAGGAAATAAACAGGTTTACTGAGATTAAATTAAACCTTGGTGATCTTTTTTCAACCCGTCTTAATCCTTTCCATTGCAGGTGGCTGGCCTCTGAGCTGAGAAGGGAGAAAACGGCTAAGCTTCTCGATAAGTGCTCACATCTTAATTACGAGGAAATGGGAAAAAAGGAGGTGGGGGGCATTTAAAGAGGGACTTAATCCTCTTGACTCAATCGGACATTTTTTGTTTAAAAAATACGGACCAAAACAGTACATAATGTATTGTATTAAAGCACAGATTATAGCAAAAAGGCAGCAGATATTTGTCAGGTCTGCCATCGATGTGCAGAGGAGACAACAGCAAAGGAAGCCTCACAGGAATGGTGGGGTGGCAGGGGGGGGCGGTGGTGAACAATGGCCCGCTGAGGACAGCCTAACAAAAGAGACAGCACAATACGAAGAAGAAAAAAAAAAGCATACAGACAGCGGATTCAGCCAAACAAGTGTTTTAAGAAATATCCACCTCAAATTTAAAAGAACAAAAAAAGAGGAAATAAAAGACAAATGGGGCTGGATCTGCACATCTAACCCCCCCGAGAAATTCCTCATGGATTTAAGGACACGGCCCGCATCATCCGCCTGGATAAAAAAAACACACAAGAAAAAAACACCACTCCGAGGACAAAGACGTCTGATGTGGATTTTTCCTTTTTGAGCGAACGCAAACATAGACAGGGAAGGAAACTTCTTCATTTCGGTTTGCTTTAAGTTCATTTAACTGTTTTAGGCGTTTCACATGCACTTGACTTGCTAGTTCAATACTACTGACTCTTGCCTACATTTACTCTGTCCATTTTATAGTCATCCATCATAACTCGTACACTTGAAGAGAGACTGCTGTTGCACATGTACCCCTCTGTGCTTCGAAGCTGAACTGTACTGTACAAGTAAGCATCAGAAACCTAACACTCTCCCTAGCACTTAAAAACACACAAATGTTCCTCTGTGACGACATGTATAAATACTAATTGAATATGAGAAGAGTCAGAGGAGGGGTTTGACAGATGCATTGTAATTACTGTATTTCTATGTAAAGAAGAAGAAGAAGAAAGAGTCCCTTTCCCTGGTAAATTCCTTAGAACGACACACAACAAGGCACAGGTTCACTCTGGGTTCAACACATGGAAAGAGTAATAGCACATCAGCATCATTAACGTGGCAGATTCACAACCGCTGCCCTGACACCCCCTCCAAATCTACCCTTGACTTCATCTGCTGTAACTTTGTGAGTTTTCTGCAATGCAGAAAAACTCAATGATTTAATATTTCCCCTTATCTGTGCACAAGCACACGCACATCTGCCCCGGTTGTCATAAGTCTGCTGTGTATAGCCCCCCCCAGAAAGCCTGACTAACAACCTACAAGCATCTACAGCTGCTACTGCAACATAGCCATCACTTCACAACACCCCCCCCCCCCCAAAAAAAAGAAGAAGGATGAAGCGGCATCAGAGCCTACACAGTTGGTTTTCACCCCCACCCCAAAACATAGAGAATTATTATTATTATTTATGGCCTCCACATATGAAATCAAATATTAAACCCAAGCCTAAAGTAACAGTGGGCTACAAGAAGAAAAGCACAATGAAAATCAGTGGTATTTTTGCTAAAGATCTGGCAGTGAGGTGATGTTTTCTTTGTGTGTTAGCATCCATGGATGTCAAGAAAGGGAGTCTCTGCTCCTCTGAACATTAGACATCAGTAGGTACGACGCTGCGCTGCTGAAAGTTATTCTGCATCTCGTATAATAGAGTCTCTCCTCTGCTTGATAAATCATCCATCTTAGACACAGTGGTGGCTCTCTTATCTGACGCTGGCCAGCAGAAGTAGCTGGAGATAATTCAAGAAAGAACTGAGCCTCTGTGCTGTTGCTAGATTATCTATGTCCTCCCCCCACCTCCTAAAAAAAAAAAAAAAATAGAAAAAAAACCCAAAAAAAAACTCCATAACCCAGCACACACAGCCAACTCAAAACACCCTACTGCCCCCATGAATACGTACAAGCCGCAGAACCCGTGTTATTGCAGATTTCACTTTGGATGCGATAAGATACACACGCAGACAAAGGCTGTTTGGTATCTCTAAAATAACACAGGCCGTTTCCACTGACTGCATGATATTACACCGCAGCCACGGAGAGATCGCTATCCTCCCATTATTTATTCAAAATCAAATTTAATATATTTATTTATATATTTATTTCAAGCTTGGATGTGCAATTCAGTCATGCCAGAGTTTTGCCCTTTAATCTGTATTTTCCAGTAAACAGCATGCACACATACACTACACTGTACACAGGGACGATTACACAGATCAATAACAGGTTGAAGGTGCCAGGAAGACCGTAGCACTGCTGCTGGCTGAGCTCTACTTGAGATGTGTTAAAAGTCAATGACAGAATCCATCTGAAAAGTTTGCTTTTTACGAGTGAAACAAAAATGTTCCTAATGCTGCGTTTGTGCAGGCGAACAAATGCGATGTGGTGTACAGACGAGGCAGTGGTGAGTTCAGAACAATGATGCTGCGATGTCAGGACAGTTTAAATCAGGGGTGTCAAATATAAGGCCCAGGGACCAGAATTGACCTACACAGACTCCAGTCGGAAAAATGTGAATGACTATGTAGATTTTCATTTTCATAGGTTTTGTGGCTTTTCCTGTTAATGAAGACCCCCCCCCCCCCCAATTTGTACTATGCTAAAATTATTAAGTAATAAATAAACAATTCATTGACAGAAATTTCCCATTTTTCAGTATCTACTATATACATTTGTTATTTAATAAAATATGTTTTGAATTAAAACTTTATATTTTATAATTACAGGCCAGTCCGGGCAATGAATTGTCAGAACTATTCCAGTAATTATTAATATTTAGCATGTCATTTCACTGCTCCAGCCCATTTAAGATCAAAGTAGCTTCTTTGTGGCCCACGATGTGAAATGAATTTGACATCCCTGGTTTAAAAAGGCTTCAACGTCAGAGTGATGCTGTTTCAACTTTGCCCTTCATCTGATCCCAGCTGATGATGCATCAAGCAATATGTGATACAGGATTAGTCTGTTATAAAGTAACCTTCCTGCAATGTGCAGCAACATCAGCACTGAAAGTCATTTAAAGAACATAACCCCTCTGAGGGCGTTTAAAAGGCACAATACACTTTACACACACGCATGCACGCACGCACGCACGCACACACACACAGACACAAAGTCCTCCCTTTTCATCATCTCCACCGTCATCTTTCAGCCTCATGCGATTCACATTTTATGCATGTGACTCTTAAGGTTGTTTATTTGCCACAGCAATTCTGTCTCAGAGAAAGATGTTAGTTGAATCCAGATAAATAAATCACTGAGAACAACCTCACCTGGCTCTGTGTATTGTGTCCAGTGGATGTCTCTGTACTGTCTGTTGTACTGCATGTAATTTCCCCCTCAGAGTGAAGACGTTTAGGGCTCAAAGTCTGGATAAATAGCCCAAAGTTTTGCTTTCATGCTATTGTTGTTGTAACCAGTGCATTTTTTGTGCTACTATATAAAATGGTTTTTACCAAACTTTATGTCTACATACATCTTGCTTGTGTTTTCAGCTGTTTGTAAATCCATTGATTAGATCAAGTGTTAGACTTAATGCATCAGGTTACCTAGTTCAAATGAAGATTGAGACATTTTTCATAGTGCACGTTTGAGGTATGTGTTTATTCCCCCCCAAAAAAATTATTAATTTAACACAATTTAGTGGGCTCATACTGAACTTACTGAATACCAATATCAGCACTACCAATACTATCAATATTTTGATCGATCCACCCACCTCTAATCGATCTACAATGCATTGCTTTCCTGCAGTATGTCTTCAAAGAAAATCACTGATGATGACCAGACGCATGACAGGTTTTCATAAAAAGGAAAAGAGATTTTCAGAGACACTTTGTGTGCATAACCTATCCACAGAAGCACACAACATACCATCAGAAGGTATATTTGAAAAGCAAACAGAGTCAATAAATAAATAAATAAAACAATTCATAGTTTCCTCGGCCTTGGTTAGTGGCAGAGAGGTCAAACAACTCTTTATTCACACATTGTTTTTATATAGTCTGGATGCAAGCAATAAATTAAGTCTTTCAGAGGAAGAACATTTATTATAATCAAGTTCACTCTCCTTCCGTTTCTTGATCTCCAATTACGTTTCAGGGTTTAAGGTTAAAGCTGTTAAGAAAATAAATTAAAAACAAATCTGCAAACACACTCAGTAATGAGAAACTGCTGTGAGGAAGTTGGTTACACAGCTGCATTGCTGATGTCGTGCTCACTGACGTGTCAGTCTTGAGTGGTTTTGAGTTGCAGCAAGGCGTCACTGCAGCTTACAGCGGTCGTGTCCTCCCACGCTATCCTCCCATCCTCCTCCCTCTTCCTCTCTTAATCCACCCTTCCCTCTTGTTCTCCTCACTGGACATCAATAGTCATGCCATAGTCTGGACTGCTGGCGAACTGGATCTTACCATCTGTTTCCTGCTCTTCAAACACTATGACCTATGACAAGTCAAAAACATTGTATACCGGCTTATTTGAGGTCATAAAAGTACAGTAAGCGTGGGTGTTTAAGAACTAATGTCAACATATGCACACCAAGAGAGGAGAAAATAGGGAGAAACAGCAGAAATAAAGTTGCAGAGTTGAACAAAACAGATGACTGAAAACTGTTTTATCATATTAGTGGAGCGCATATAAAATAGCATGTGCATATTATATTATATTATAAATAGTGGAGAAAAATCTAAAAAATGTTGTAGAGAAGGGAAAAAATCTGCATAGAACTAAATAAATACACAGATAGTTTTGTACGCAAACATTCACTGGCCACTATGTTATGGACGACTTGCTAGTATCAGGTTGGATCACCTTTGCCTTCAAAACGGCCTAAATTATTCATGGCACAGATTCAACATAGTGATGGAAACATTCCTGATTGATTTTGGTCCATGCAAATCTGCAGCATGATGTGCTGCAGATTTGTCAGCTAAATCTTCATGATGTCAATAAACACATCCCAAAGATGCTCTACTGGACTAAGATCTGGTTACTGTGGAGCCCAGTTGAGAACAATAAACTCATCGTCACATTAAAGAAACCAGTCTGAGATTACCTGAGTTTTTTGAGATGGTGTGTTATCCTGTTGGAAGCAGGCACCAAAGGATGGGTACACTGTGGTAATAATAGGATGGCAACAATACTCAGGTAGGGCTGTGGCATTTAAACAATGCTCACTGTAAAAATATCCCCCACACCATGACGTCACCACCACCAGCAAGTTGATACCACCACTGATACAAGATCTTAAAGTTCTGACCCTGCCATGAATGCTATGGCAGAAACCAGGACTTGGCAGAGCAGAAAACATTTTTCTAATCTTCTTCTATTGTTCAATTTTGTTCTGCATCTGTACAAACTGTAGCCCTAGTTTCTTGCTCTCAGCTAACAAGAGTGGGAGCCAGTGTGGTCATTTGGTGCTTTAACCTATCAGCTTCAATAAATGATGAACTGTCCTTTCAGAGATGCTCTTCTGCACGCCTCGACTGTTATGAGTGGTTATTCGAGTTTAGCGATTCTCCTCTGATGTCCTGCATCAGTAAAGAAAACCACTGCTCTCTGTATAATTGATCTTCTTTTCAGACCATTCGCTGTAAACCCTACAGATGTTTGTGTGGGAAGATCACAGTATCAGCGGTTTCTGATAAAAATTTAGATCAGCCCGTCTGGCACCAACAACCATGAAGTCACTTAAATCACCTTTTTCCCCTCATTCTGACTCAGTTTGAACTGCACCAGGTCGTCCTCGCTATGTCTCTTGACTCTAGCTAAAGTGTGTAAAACAGACTTTAAACAGATTTTCTAAACGGTAAGCACATGTGTTTCTGGTGAAGACGCAGTACCTGGTTGTCACCCCTGTGAAGCCAGGGTCCTGGGACATAGAGAGTTTGCTGAGGACCAGTGGACCAGTAACGTCCCAGATTCTTGCCATTGATGAACACAACAGCTTTGCTCCAACCCTGTGAACACAACCAGTTACCGTTTACAGTGCGTAACGATATGAAAATATTTAAAAAAAAAAAAAAAAAACATGTTCCAGACTACCAACAGTAGGTGGACTTACTCATGCCTTACTAAACATCCTTTTCTCCTAAAAACCTCTTTAGAAATTGTCCGATCTCACTAGCAGAGCGAAAGAATAATATCATTGTGTAAATTTGCCCACTGAATAATAAACGAGTCAGCATTCAATCAAGCTATTTATCTGAGCATGTTTTACAGATGTGTATTAACTATGAAATAATTCATTAAATCAACATTCATGACGGTAATTAGAAAACCAAAAGTCAAAGTCGATTATCACTCCCCAAAGTAAGGGGTGGCTGTAGCTCAGGTGGTAGAGCAGGTCATCTACTGATCGGAAGGTTGGTGGTTCGATTCCTGGCTTCCCCAGTCTGCATGCCAAATATCCTTGGGCAAGATACTAACCCCAAATTGCTCTCCGATGCATCCATCGGAGTATGAATGTGTGTGAATGTTATCTAGAAAGCACTTAGAAAGATGTGCTTGTGCGAATGGGTCTGAATGGGTGAATGCACAAGTTGTGTAAAGCGCTTTGAGTGCTCATATGAGTAGAAAAGCGCTATATAAGAACCAGTCCATTTACCATTTACCATTTACCAAAATGAAATTCAGTGAAAAGCTGATCTCCTGACAGATGTCTGCTCTAAACTGAATTTCTAGCTTGATGTCAGAATTCGTAACAGATTAGAGGAGAGATCCCCCTGATAACGTGGTGACGACAGCTTTAGATTGTTTATGTGAGACTTCTGTGTTTCTGTCATCTAGAAGAATCAAAACTCGAAATTCATGCAAAATAAACATAAACAAGAAAAAATACTTTTAAATTTGAATTTGTGTCAAAAAAAACAAAGACCACTCAAATCTCTGAAGTTAGTGAGGACATCATTTCTAATGATGTTTACCCATTTTGTACAATGGTGAAATCAACTGAATCACTCACAGGGAGTTTGATGAAGGTGTCTTGAGGTGAGCCATTCACATAGAGTCTGCTGTGGAAAAACCCTGGGAAGGAGGGCTGATGGCGCATGGACATCCAGTGACCTGCACTCTTCAGTCTGTGAAGAATGAATAAAAAGTACAAATGTGAGTTATGTGATATAAATGTGACTAAAGAAAAAAAATCACTTTTAGCAGGCCTGTTTGTCCGCCAGCAGTATATCACGTCCTTCATACAACATTTATTTTGCTAGCAATGGAATATGCAGATGTATTTACACACTTCACTTTTTTAACAAGTAAGTGAATTCAAAAGGTTACAGTGATATAAGACCAGAATTCCTTCTCCGGGTAGGAATCTGCAGCTTTCATTGGTACAATGCTTCAGGACTTGACATTTCCAGCGCGGTGCTGAGGTAAGAAATTTTATTTTGAAGCTATACAGCGAGAAATACACTATATTTGCAATTAAAATGTTACTAGGAAAAAATAAAGACCTCTAACAGGCTGACAGAGTAACCCTAGTGTTCATTAGCAATGAGAAAAACTAAATAAATAAATTGCAGTGTGGGGTACAAATGTGGAGTACAAATATGGCAATATGAGAGGGGATTCTAATAATGCAATCATGAGGGGAAAGCATTTGGTCCATGCAGAGTGCCACCTCCTGCAAAATGGCCTTTTAATGTTTGACTGTAGTGTTGTGCTTCCATGTATAGAAACCACCAGACCCGATGACCATAATGGCATTGATGGCACATTCAAGGTGCCCATCGTGTAGGTAGGTCATAGCATCAAAAAACTGCAAGCTGAACTGAAAATAACACAGATCAGTTTCCACTGCAGAGCTGTGTTCAGTTCTTGCATTTGTGTGGCCTGCCCTTGAAGGTAAAAGCCTCAAAGAACGTTTACAGAAAAACAGCAAACATACTGCAGTATTCAATGCCTGCTCTGTTTATCCATGCTAGCCCATTTCTACCCTCAGTGCCTCTTTGTCTTTGCGGTCATTTTGATGTTTTGGAGCTCTTGTAAGACCTAGGATGAAAAGGAAGGACACTCAGGACACAGGTATGAATGGGATAAATTATCACCCAGCTCAGTTTATTCTCTAACAGAACATATTAATGCTCATTCAGCAGGTCTGCTAATTTATCCAAATAAAGCTTATGCTTATGCAAGAAGCCTGTAGAACTATTCTTGAAGACTACTTAAAGAATCTATAGAAAAACTTAAAGGTAGTCATACCAAATATTGACTTTTAAGCTTCTTACAACTGTACAAACTTCTAACAAAATATAAAGAAATCAGGGTTGGTGCAAGACTTTTACATAGTACTGTATGTTTTTAATGACATTTTGTTGTGTGTTCAACACTTATCTATGACATGGTTGCCCTTGGGCATGGAATTGGCATTTTATATATCGACTTGCCCTTAGAGCCACTAAGTGCTACTAACTCATTGGACCACCACATATTGGGTTAAAGTATAAAAAGTACAGTTGATGTTTAAAGAGAGAGCAGAGTGAGGTGGGAACTCATTTTTGTGACTGACCCTCTTGGTTATGCATTTCTGGCAGTTCTTTTCTCGGTGTGCAAAATATAGGGAGGGAAATATTGAAATCAAGTGTGCAAATATATTTACTAACATTTCCTAAACACAATTTACTGCAAAGCGTGGCGATATTTAACTCCAAAAAAAGAATGTCTTATTCTTTGGTCCTGAAATGGTGCCCATTATTGGTGCACTTAGGAGCCACCTCAGAGGTGTAAGGGTCCGTGTTAGAAGAGAGAGACGCTTCTCCACTCGTGCCAGTTTATTTGGAACATCGGACAAAGATGTGATTAAAAACATATCATTTACAAAGTTTGCTCAATGAACTCAGAGATGACCTGGAACCTCCAACCTGAAGGAGTCACAAGATACCAGTGACTACCAAACTTCCAGTTTTTGCCAGCAGATTCTTTTCAACATATTGCGAGTGCTATTTCACAGCCTGCAACTGGTTCCAACAGGAAAGTACGGCAGAACGGCGAGAACAGAGGGATGACAATGTTGACTTTGAGCCCTACCGTAGAACTGTAGAATTTTGAACTTATCATTTCAGGACCAGGGAAAGTGCAAGTAGTTTTCACAGTGCTCAGTGTGCCATTAAGTCTGCTAACCTGTTGTTTTTACTAAACAAATCCATCTCGCAAACCCATCCCTTGCAGTTATTGGCAGATTTAACATGTCTTATTGAAATCAAGTGACTGTGTTTAGAAAACAGCACAACTTTTGTACATCACTTGTAAAACTAACCCCGCCTGTCAGCGTTATTTGGGGATTATGCTCACACGTTATTTTTGCCCCATTTAGTAAATGTGGCCCTTAATGCTTTTAACTGAAGATGTTTTTCATGTTTTTTTGTTTTGCATTCTGGCATCATCTTCCCACTATCAGGATGGTGATAAGCAGGATTATTACTAAATGGATTGGATAAGAAAAGGCAAGTTTAAAGACGGGGAAACACAAACGTTGGTGGGGAAACTGAATAATAACTGACACATACAAACCTGTTTACAAAGGCAGGCTTCATATCCAGACTGTGAATACTGAAGTCTCGGAGGGTGTGCTCGTTTAGCAGAATATCGCCAACAAGACCTGAAAGGTGAGTCAAAGCTGCTTCAGTTTCTTTATGGATCTTAAAACAATGTTAATGAGTTTCTCTAAGGGTCTCAAATAAAAGGAAAAGATTTCAAGGCAAGACTCGTCTGATTGGAATGTCTGCAAAGCCATCTGTTTGTTAAACTGCTTGCACCTTTGCGCTGTTCATCCAGGGTTTTTCCATAATTCACTCTTCCACAGTTCTCCACCAGTAAGCCCAGAGTTCTTTTCCCCTTCAGTGGGAAAACACATAAAACATTAAGGGGCATTAATAGAAGAACAGCAGCATTAGCACACAAAAAAATCCATTCAGTTGTTTTGATTTTAGCAACTCATCAAGGCTGATGTGTGTCTGCTGTTTTCTGTAAGGCTCAAGGTGACTTTCTCATTTGTTAGGATAAACAGTTGTTTGAAAATTTGCTGTTGGCTTAATACTGGGACCCAGCTGCCAAAAAACCACCCGGCAGCATCCCCTGAAGCTTTCAAATGCTGCATTCTGTTAAATATTTACAACTTTATTCTTTTCAAACAACCGACTGGGTGATATTTTCACAGAGAAGGACAGACAGACTCAAAAGTTACCTTCCCATCAGGTACAGCAAGTTCTTGCACCGTATAGTCCAAAACACCTACAAAATGTTTATCCACAAAAACCTGGGAAAAAGAAGGAAAGTTTAACATAGATGTATTTATCTTTCACCGCATTCAATCTTTCCTGAGAACTGCCCACTAATACCAGACCAAATGGTCGCAGCCTTGACTTGTAATCCACAAGTACACTGATCATGGGTGTGATTTCTAACAAGGAAATCGCAGCTTTCTAGGTCCAAATGTTGTCACAAAGACTGTGGATGGACTGTGTGTGTGTCTGTCTTCCTGTCCTTACCAGAGCTCTGTCTCTGACATTGTTCTGCGACTTGAGAGCTCCGCCACTGGTGATGGTGGTCTCATAGAGCGTGTAGCCATATGACTGACCATTGTTATTGTTCACGGGGAGATTCTCCATGTTCACCGGCCTCTCCGACTTGAAAGGCTACAAGATATCCATAAGACATATTTTAACACACAGCATATATATCTATATCAATC